TCTCGAGTACTTCTCCCGTTTCGAATCAATTTGAGTGCTTGACAGCATGACCAGTAATAAACTCACCAAGCAAAAACACTTGAGCTACGTATCACACTAAATCTTTCTTTTTCTTTCGTATCTCATTCTGAGGTAATCAGGACATCTTGAGGCAAGAATTCATTTGGCGTTTCAAAGCAATTCGTTTTTTGGTCACGAAATTGTAGACGCAAAGCACTTCTTCACTTTCCACAAATCTTTCATGTGCGATTTTAATAATTGCAAGGGTTTGTCTTGACTTAAGCCAAATATGAGGTACATGTCAAAAGCGAATCGAAACTGCTTTGCCTCGTCTCCGTTCTTCGTCAAATACCTTAAGGCGGTCAGACTGCTGGAAACTAGCTACCTAATAGAAATGAGATTGTCTTCGAAGTTTTTTGAGATACCATTAGCTTTTTGTACTCGCCGGGATATCCCGCTAACCCACTAGCTACACCAAATGTATTGCAGCAGCCCCACGAAGTGACGTTTCATTGTAATTTGCTTAAAGTGTGGCATTGAATTTAAAAATATTTGGAGGAGGGAGAAGAATCGAAGTTTGACTGTGTTCGTGCTTACTTTAGCTATCAAACTGAAAAAAGAACAAACTAAATCATCTACCTAACGTGTGCCTTAATGCCCAGCCACAGGGAATTATCATCATATAAGATTCGAGCTCCATCAACCAGAACCACTCTGTAATACTTATTTGAACAAAAATCTTGACGAAATCCGGCATCAAATTTGCAGACACTCGAGCAACAGGTTTGGTACGCATAATGTAACTGTAAAGTGGATCACACATGGCCGTCTCTCTGAATCCAGGGGTGCGCAAATTATTATTCCTGGTACTCAGACTGGCCAATGTCGATAGTGAATTTCCACAATGTATGGAATGCTCCGTCCTCGCTCGGAAAAATATTTATCAGTACTTTAATCGTCATCTTTCGTGATTGTTTCCTGATGCACCACGTTTGACCCATCCCTTTGAGTTTGGTTAGTAGATGGCTTCAAAACACATTTGTAGATCAATGTTGTTTCAGCTACAGTTCTCTCACCCTTCTTCGGCTTCTTTACATTGTCATAGGCTTGACAGCCATGCGTCGTCCTTCTTGGCTACCAACGGCTTGATCTTTTTCTCTATCTCCTTTCAAATATCGCGAGCCCCGCTTCGGAAAACGAGCTCGGTGTGCGCAGTCCGCACAAACTCTGGGAACAATTTCCGTTTTTAGGAGGCTTTATTTATCGGTAAAGAACGGCAAACCCATTTTAAGCATTACGAGATGTCGGTTGCCTACTTCCACCTTCACAAAAAAAGTCATGCCTGTGGACGTCCATTATCCTTCGGAATCAGAGCGGATTCCAAAATCATCGAAGAGAAGTGGTATCATGATCAAAACTTAGATCCGTTACCATTAGATATATATATACTAGATATATTTCGAACCATTCAAAAATTACTTTGATTAGGTTCATTGCGCTAAATTCCTTAGCTTGAAATGCTAACGGGGTAAGTGTCAAACTGCGCATGGCTGAAAGACGCTTGATACAGCCGCCATTATGTTCCAAACGCCGGTCCGCCGTGGTCGGTGAGGATACAGCCACACATTTGCTTGACAAACTTTTTTGCTTACATGACTTGCCGGAGTCTGTTGTTCTAACCGACGACCGCACTTTTGTGGCTACCGATCTCTGCTTATGAGCACTAGCAACAAACGAACATGCTCCCTACCGATCATCCGTGGACTGATGGACATTTATTGCGTGGGAGAGGAATCGCCCGTATCAATTGCGCGAAGAGACCACGGTGTTATAGCAAAATGCCCTTCGTATCGGATATGTGTTGAAGTAAGTAATACACACTTCTACAGACTAGTCACGGATTCTATATGCTTGGTAAAAATTGGACCTGGCTGCGTGGGGACTAGTCTCTACTTTTTATGACTCTACGCTCCTATCCAGCTCTTTAGCGGGTCTGCAGAGCT